CCCCAAAACCCCAAAACCCCAAAACCCCAAAACCCCTAATTAAATTTTGAGGATTGAAATCTCCACAAAATTATACGTTTTTTTCATTCTGATCTTTAAATAGCCTTAATCGAACAACTAAAATGGTGTTTATCAAGAAGTAGCTAGTAGCAAAAAATAACTGTGATGTAGCATAAGCTGTAAATATAATGAGGAATGCTTACTCTGCCTTACAAACATCGATTTTTTCAAAGTAGCAAAACATCGCGAAATACCTTGAGTAAATTAAATGGGATTATAAAATGAAAACTTGCTAGACACACTAATTTTATTGGCGAGAACTCGCCTAACAGGATGAGAGAAGTATGTACTAAAGCTCCGCCTTGCTAACAGATGGAATCTGGACTTCTAATGACCAAAGTAATCATTTCTTCCTTGTCTCGGCATTAGATAAGAGTAATTTCGCCGCTTCATCATAGTTTAAGGGAGCTGAGAAGTGTCAAAGTTCAGATAGCTATATAGTCTTTACAAATTTTAAAATTTGTTAGGCAAACTTTTTTAAAGAAATTCTGTGGTACTCGCTTGGCTTATTGCTGTATCTTAATTAAAATGGCTATCAAAGTTTTAGAAATTATAGTCTAGCCTCTTAACCCAGTGTCAGCAATGAATAGCTGCACTTCCTACTATCTAGTAGTTCGATTCCCCTAAATTTGCATGATATCCGTCAGAACAGGTTTGAGACATTTGCAAATTTTTGTAAAAAGTTAGCAATTTGCCTGTGAAATAGGAAGAATTTTACAAACCTTATATAAAGATCTGCACTAATAGATAAGATGTACTGGATAAAAACCTCGATGGAATCTCAAAATGCTTAGAGACTCTCTTTGTGTCATTGTAGACTGATTCAAAATCAGCAGATAATGCTGTCTGAGTTATCAAAAGTATTTGAGGAGGTTTAGTCGTGAACAGTAAACTGCTAATTTGGGAATTTTCTCCTAATAATTTAGAATCAGACCTGACTGAGGAATAATTATAAGCTTTGTGCAACAGCATCAATTAATGCAGCTCTTGTGACTCTGATTAGATGTAAAACTTGCAGGGTCATGACAAAAACTCACTTCTGCGGGATTTTGATTCATTAGGATTTATTTACAGTCAAGTCTACCAAGGGTTTTTACACCAAAAAGTTAAAGAACTCCACTATGGTCTGAAAGCTCTTAGAATATTGCCTTGTTGATATGCTAAGAATTTAGAAGACGAAAAGAAAAATATCTAAAATTAATTACCAAGTATTTCCAAAAGACATAAAAACTTGCAAAATAGCTCATATGCATTTCAGGGCGAAATTTTCCTTAAAAATGCCGTATTCCCAAAACCTCTCTTCCAAACTCCAGTTCACTACCTTGTTTTCCCAATTCATAGGCCCTAATTACTTCCTGTAATCCTACAAATCCAGTAAGAAATGAAAAACAAGATGCTTGCTTTCACTAGGCTAAAATTTAGATGAATCTGTTTAAGAAAATATACAACCATTTCCAAATCTTATCAGCTAAAATTATTTATTGAGCGATGAACCACCATCCAAGAAAGTTTAAGGTAAATTTTATGATAAATTATTCATCCATTATCAAGATCTGTCCTCACACTTCAGAGTCCTTTGTCTCCAAAACTCAGTAATTTACCATACTGGGGATGTACTCTTTGGAGATATGGCTGAAGACGGTTTCCATGTAGGTGACAGACCACTCTTCATCATATTTTTCATGGTGTAAACCTTGTTGGTCGTCCTCGGAATCTCCCTCTTCAGCATTATGCAGAAAAGATGTTGAAGAAGACCAGAAGTAGCTAGAACTTTCAGTGAAGTCTCCCTCTTCTTGGAGAATGCTAGGACTGTATCTGAATACAGGTACTGGGTTTGAAAAATATCTCATAGAGATCGAATTGTTAATAAATATTATTTCAAGCTGCTTGACTCATAGTGGGGTTTTGGGGTTTTGGGGTTTTGGGGTTTTGGGG